AGCAGCCAGCATGGTTTTGTCAAAGGAAAGTCAACAATAACGAACCTAGAAGATTCATCCGATAACGTTATTATTTGAATATAGTTAATAACCTGATAAAAAGTTGATAGCGTTATTAAGATTTATCGGTATTATGATCGGATCTCAATAATCTAAATAGAATAATAATAATAATAATAATAATAGTAATTGTTACTTGGGGAGTTTCTATCATAGAAATTCTTTGGACACGTTTTGAGAAGTAAAAATACATACGATTTATCGGAATCAAATTGTTTGTCTTCTAGATGATTTTATCTTTTTTGATGGTTGTCCATCACGGAGGACGATAGTCCGACAAGTGACGCTCCATAGACTGTGCATTTCAAGCTAAATATCAAAAATGCCAGTTTTTGCGTCACGAGTATATATACAGTAAGTATGCTATTTTCTCAGGACACTATTTGGGCCCCGGCATGTTAGGTACCGTTGGAAAGGTCTTTGCCCAAATAGTCGGAAACACCATATCCCCCATGCCTAAAAGGTGGTCTAGGCAAAAATATAGCGGTTGGAAAATTTCGATAAATTTTCAAATCTATACCCATATCTTACGAAGGAGGTACCCAGGAGGTGGTCTGAGGTGTACAAGAGAAGCTCCTCCCCACCACCTTTCCAACGCCGGTCTAAGTGTCCCGATTGGTCCAAAAACGAAAAATTTATGGGCATTGGCAGTTTGATCTTGATTTTTTATGAAAGTATTGATTTGTGCGTCCGTTCGTCCGTCTGTCCGGAAACTTTTTTGACCCCCACAGATTCCGGTGCCGATATGCCTGAGCTGTAGCTGGTGTCGGGTTACATCGAAACCCGTCCTCAGATTGACATTTGCATAACAGTAGAGCTGGCTATGGCTTCACTAGCCTGCATGTATACGATTTTTTCAAGTATTTATTTCGCACACTAGATCAACTCAGACACCATCGGGTGAAGTCAGCTCGTAATTATTTGAGAAGACCTTCAAAAAGTTCCATACACACATGCCAATGTTTATGTGATATAAAAGAAAAAAGTCGATTTTTATGAAAAATAGACCCCCTTAAATTTAACACCAAACGCGATTTCTCAAAAATCAGCCCTACAATATTTTACCAAAAACTGAGCGTTTGTAGCCGGCTACCATACCAACAAAATGGCATATGCCACATATCCGGGAAAATTCGTATTTCGAAGTTCTGGGCATAGGCAATTCTAAAGCTGTCAACGGACACGGACAAAAAAGTGAAAAAGTGGTTTTTTGCTGTCCGTCCGAACTTTTTTTCGGACGGACAGATTTTGTCCGTCCGAAAAAAATGAAAATTTTCGACGGACAAATTTTGTCCGTCCGAAAGTTCGGACGGACGGACAATGTCCGAAAATTTTTATCTCGGACAAACGGACAACGGACACGGACAGGTTTTGTACGAAACATTTCGGACACGCTTTTTTGTCCGAACATTCGGACAGTCCGAATGTTCGGACACGTTTTCGGACGGACGGACAATTTTTTGTCCGAAATTTGTCCGAAAATTTCAATGAAACTAAAAACACGTTTTTCCCGTCCGTTCGCCAAAAATTTCAATTTTTCAACAAATGGTTCGCATATTTAACGCTAATAATTTTCCGACGGATGTTCGTATCTTGATAAGTACTTTCTTCTGATACTTCTTAATTGTATGAAGAAAAATTCTCAAAACTAATAAGAAAATTAATCAAACTATTTCTTGTGTAAATGTTGTGTTGATTATTAAAAGAGCATAGAAATGTTTCGATTCTCAAATACTACAGTAACTTTTCATTTTTATTCATATTTAACACCGCCAATCACTGGCTGAATTGGATTTTGTACAATGTTAGTATATAATTTGTACTTCGCGTGTTTTCGTATACAAAATCCACAATGAAGATGAACAAATGTCATTCCGTTTGTTAACATTCCATATTCCGGTCGATTTTTGTTCAAAGGTACGTACGGCTTGAAATAGTTTTGTGCGGTTTTGTGAGATTTCGAGCAATGAATATTCGTTTGTTTTCATTTGTTTTATTTTTGAATTACATTTTTAAAAAAATTCAATGGAATAAAAACGAACTTTATGTGTTGCTTGCATAGATTGACGTTTTTTTTTAAATACAATCAAATAGCAGTTCAAGATCGTTCAAAATATACAAGATTTCAAACTGAGGTGAATTCGAGAGAGTGATTGTCAAATATGAGAAAACACAGTTTCGCGTTTAATGAACCATTTGTTGAAAAATTGAAATTTTTGGCGAACGGACGGGAAAAACGTGTTTTTAGTTTCATTGAAATTTTCGGACAAATTTCGGACAAAAAATTGTCCGTCCGTCCGAAAACGTGTCCGAACATTCGGACTGTCCGAATGTTCGGACAAAAAAGCGTGTCCGAAATGTTTCGTACAAA